TACCATACAAGCAGCCCTGCAAAATCCTACCAGAATTTTCTTTTTGAATAATTTTGTTTGGATGAGCGAGTAGAATATCATTATCTTGATTCCAGCACCATCTCCTTAGGAAGGTATAGGTGAATAGATTTTGTGCTGAGTCTCATAAATTCTCTGACAGTTTTGCAAGGCTGTGTGTAAATTCTGAGCTACAGAATGAAGGAGAAGACAGGAAAGCAATACGTGCCGTGACTGGATTCCTTATGCCACGGTATACTTTTAAGAATTAAGTATGAATATTATGCATACAGTCAATTTTAGAAGTGGGTGTTGGATTTTTAGGTATTTGGTTAAAAACAAGATAAAAAAATTAGAGGAATTAAGTACATCGGGAAATTGTGAGAATGAGATGGACTCTACCTCACTAACTGTTTAGAATTTTACCATGCCTGAGAGTGTTAGCAATCCTAGCCTAATTCGGTGCTATTCACAGTTGAACTTCATGCTATTGATCACGGAAGTCTACTGATTGAATATTGTCCTTAAGTATCTATGAAAACAAAGAAAACTACTTCTTATGCGGTGACTATAATTGGCAATGTGCAGAGCCAGAATCACTGGATCGAGTTATTTTATGAATTTTGTGAATGGGACTGTGGAACGTGATTGCTGTTACTGTTCATTAGTTCAGAAGAAAAGCGAGTAGGTAAGTTGCTAAATCCAGTGTTCTCCTCCCAGTCTAGCTCATAAATCTTCTGTGTGGGCAGCTGTTCTTACAGGGGGGAAAAATGTAGTTAACTCTCTGTTTCAGATCAGAAGCACTTACTGCAAATTTTATGCAAGATGACTTTGCACCGGTTGAAAACTGTAGGATTATCTCTTCTTAGACTTATAGGGTCAAATTGTGAAAAACATAGTAATATGCAAGGATATTGTCAAAATTAACACTTAATTGAAGGTTTATTAGAGTAAGGCTGGCCAAAGGAATTAATAGCCAATAGAGAGTCCATTTTCATATGATCATCATTCTGTTACCCTGCAAGGTTCTTTTTCAAATTGATAAATTACCTTTTAATACAGTCTGCAGTTCAAGATATAAGAAAGGATTGCAGGACTAGATTACCAAAACGGAATGTTAGGAATTAGTAAAGCAGTTGTTTTTATAATGTAAATAATTATAGACCATTTTTACCTTGTTTAGAAATATACAGTAGTTAACTCCAATTATCAGAATAATTCAATTTTTAACTACTGTATCTTTCCAGTTTAGAGAGAAGGATGTTGTGGGGGACCATGTCAAAGGCTTACAGAAGTCCAGATAGACGACATCTGTAGCTCTTCCCTTGTCCGCTGATGTAGTCACTCCATCATAGAAGGCCACTAGGTTGGTTAGGCAAGATTTGCCCTTGGTGAAGCCTTAGTTAGTTGAGTTGCTTTGTTTGGCAAAACCAGCAAATTCTCAGAGTAAGCAGCATTTCTTTTGCTGCTGTAGTCCTTGTGCAGTCAGCAACCAGGAGACACTGACTTACACGCATAAGTTTAACACATAGGCACAAGGTTTCTATGTTTTTGTCCTTTGGTTGTGTATGTGGAAGCTCACACATGCTTATTACAGTACACTTTGAACTATCAAAATTAAAACACAAGTAATATGAAATACTTTCAAATTCATAAGTTTCATTAAAAGATTCTGTGCTACATTCAGTGGCTCCCTCAAAATAATATACTTTATTGCATACAATGCACATACACATAAATAATATATTACAGTGTGATTTATATCTATAATTGCTTTCCTATAGTCCCCAAATGTAACATTTAGTCTAGAGAATGCATATATTATCTGTTGCTGGAAACATACATAAAATAATACTGGCTTCATTTAAGTCAAAAGCAATTTTTCTGTTGATACTAGGGAGAAGGGTAGCGTTTTGCCCATAGATTTTAGCATTTTGGATACAGGAGGCTCAACCACTGGTTATACGCTTACTTAGTCTATGACTATTCAATATAATTTTTCTCCACTAATTTAGGACTCTGTGGTACATTTCTAGTGGGCACCAGCTTTACCTCATAAGCAGCATTAAAGTTCATGAAATGAGTTACTGTCTCTAACTTCAAACCCCTTAGTGTAAGGAAACTAGAATAAATGGACAAGCAGTTGATATCTTCCTGGCTTTCCACTGTCCTTCTAAAAACTTGGACAGAGAGCTGCATTTTGAACAGTTACTGATGATCCAAACTCAATCATTTCTTACAGAATATATAATAAAACACCAGTGCCTAAGTTAGGTGAATAAGTAAACTCCCTCAGTAGCGTTTCCTTCAGATTTTCTGAGAAGTGTATAGTTGTTTCTCTAAGGTAACTTTTCTGAATGAAATACCATTGTGAGTGGCCAAGCAATAATTTTAAACATGACTCTGAGAAGCACCTATATTGCAGCTTGCTCTATCAAGCAATAAGGGTCCTATCTTACTCCAAGGAAGTGTGAGACAGGTCTCTCACTCCTTCCCCTCTACTCTCTCACCTCTCACTAATACTCCTGTGAAAATACCACCGTCCTGACCAAGGCTCAAAGCCTGTACTTTTGGATGTATCTTTGAGCCTTCAACTTTTGAAGTGCATCTTCAGGTCACATCCAATCCGTGATTCATATTTTGGAATCTCTCAAAGACCTGGCCTTAAATTTCCGTCCACACAACTAAATCTCTTGCTCAAGCCTTAGTTATTTTGCAGCTTCGAGTAGTTCTTACCTTTGCTAGGTCAGAGCTACCCAACTGCGCTCATGTTGTACTCATGGCGATTCCAGACACAGCGACTATCCCACTCCTGCATGCTCCCCTCCCTACCCTTCCCACGTCCTTGCTGTTTCTCAGCGCCCCATACAGCAAACATGAGGTTTTTTCCCGTTGGCGTATAAAGCCGTTTATATTTTAGCTTTGATTGGTCTTTTGACTCTACTGATTGGCCTTTTGGCTCTACTGTTTATCAAATGTTCATTTGTGTTTGTCATATCCAGCCCAGCTAATAGTAGACTGGGAGTTGATTCCTTTTAAGCGTTGAGAATCTCAAACGCCTTGTTATTCCAGTTCCTCCTCAAAAGTCATCCGCCTCGTTTCCTCTGTTAGACAGCGTCATAGGTGTATCCGGCATTAATTCTAGCTTGTGTGTGAGTATGTGTTGTGTGTATGCAGCTACACACAACACTTATCTGATCCTGACTTTTACCCCTAAACACCTGAACGACACACATAATACTAACAAAATATATAGTATTGAGTCCACGCAGGTCATGTATGCAAGTGTGCATGCAGGCAGGTATTTACACAAAGGAGGAAGCATTTAGTATTTCTCAGCAGATAGAGTTCAAGCTGTAGGGGAGAGGGAGGTGATTATGATGATGAATTCTTATGATGATGATTAAATTTTATGATTAAAGCACTGCCGGATCTCTCACTGTCTGCCTAGCTCTCGCATGGGTGTCTGGAAGAGAACACGTTCCTAACTCAGAAGGTTGTTCTGAGGGTAAGTTGTTCAGATACTGCTGAGAGGGAGGTTACAGAAACAAGTAATGAAGAGTAATTTTAAACAACAGATTGATCCTTCCCTCAAAAGATAATATGGGTTCCTGCACATGGAACCCGAATAGAAATGGTCTGAGTAACATGGTTAAAACCAGAAAGTATTAGATACCGGATGTCCCTGGTACCAACTACGCTGACTTTCTGAAAGGCATATGGAGCAGATTTTCAGGAGAGCGGTAGTCTTTCTCTGGTGTGGCTTCACCTCGTTGTTTGTTCTGCTTTTTTTGGTGGTCTGTTGAGAAGCATCCTAGTTTCAGAGTAAAGGATGTTTTCTGTGGAATGACATAGGCATGATGGTACCAACAGCTTGTAACTACTCCACGTGCAGCTGCTGCGAGGGGGGAGAGGTTAAGTGGCATCTGCTGCATGCCGGGTGGAGAGTGAGAGAAGGGTCAGAGAGGGAGAAAGCAAGCACATGTACCCATCCATGCCTGTGAGCAGGGGAAAGGCAAAGTGCTAAGCCACAGACTTAGAAAGTAAGAACTAGACAACTGAAGAGCTGTTTCCTATTTTACAAGTAGACACCTCATGGGATTTTACCCCTGGCTGAAACCTATTTATTTTTTTTTATATTTTTGCCAGGCTGAAAAACCCCATGTTCCCCATCCTTTGTACGCCAGGCTGTGATGCAAAGAGGTGCAGACTGAATGTCTGTGCGCTTTCATATATATTCTGTTTTCCTTTCTGCTGTAACCTGTGGCCTCAGCCCACTCAGCTGTGTTACAAAGTGGTTTCATCTCTGTGTAGAACAGCGATTTTTTTTTTTTCAGGGCCTATAAACAGAAATAAAACTACTGCTGACTTTAGGCTTGGCTTTGTGGATGGTCTTATTTAGAGAATCAAAATTCCCAGTAGAATGCAGCTCTCGGGCCAGATGCTGTAAGGTGAATTAATATACAAAGGTGGACTGAAATTGGGGGAGGGAGAGAAGGACTAAAGTTTAGGGTGCCAGCTGCAGCTTGGAAAAGAGAGTTTAATTTACTGTTTGTGAGTTACGTAATCTCACTAGTCCATGTTAAATATTCCATATTTAATATCTGAAAAAATAACAGCAAAGGAAGTAATGGTGATTCAGTTGATAGATTGTCTCTTTAGAAACATACTTCTGCTTTGTAATGCAGTAACTGGTTTGAAAATCCAGATACATATGCACTTCTTCTGTACACATGGAATTACATATATGTATGTACCTGTATACACACATATGTAGTCATATACTTGGTGTTGCAAACGTGTATGGCATACAGATTGAAACTTACAGTGTAACTAAGTGTATCTAGATGCATATGTGTGGGTGTATAAACACATGATACGTGTATCTATATTTTGGCTACTGTATTAACACACACACATATTTGGAAATGATCACCAATGATGATTTCCATGTCTCTGGTGCTTACATGTTTAAGCAACTTCTTTTTTGATTCGTTTAGCAGCAGCAACAGAAGAACCTGAGGTGATTCCAGATCCGGCTAAACAAACAGATCGAGTGGTGAAAATAGCAGGAATAAGTGCTGGCATTCTGGTATTCATCCTGCTTCTCCTTGTTGTCATATTGATCGTCAAAAAAAGGTAAGAAAATGATCTGTGCTGATCCCTCTTTTTTTTCCCCCCCTCTGTTTTGAACAACAATAACTAAATGGGTATTTTTTACAGGTAATCTAAAAAAAAAAAAGTTTCGGGACCAGTAGCTCACATCAGCTTTTGGATGAGTTTTGTGTTTCCTGTTGTTTTTGCTGTGATTCTTATGACAGATTTAAAGAGAGGATTACTTTATATTTGGGATACAATAGCTATATATTTTCTCATACTTACTTATTTCCAAGTGGTTTTAAGTTGCAGTTAGAGTAATGTACAGAATATTAAAATGGGTGGAATTGAAATTCACAGAGCCTTTTTTTTTTAAAGCAAAAAAAAAGAATAACTTACTGCACTTTTCATGTTGTAATCACCTAATGAATTTGATTTTCTATATGCAGCTCTAATGAGTTATTTGTATCTGTATGTTATCCAACTTGCAAAATAATGTAATTTTATACCTCTATTTATGCTCCTGTAAACCTGGAGTTTTTTCTTAAAAGTCGTACCACATCACTGTAAAATTATCTAGTGAGTCCTTAGTGCATGAAATTGTTTAAAAGTGTATTAATTTGAATGAATTTTAATTTTGTTAGCGCTTTCTTAGTAAGCAATATCGCCATCTTCTGGCATTGTACAATGCTAACTCCGCATCCAAAAGCTCCTACCTATAGTAAATTGTGCTACCCTATTGCTCGGCCAGTTTTTAAAACTCTCGATTTCCTCGCGGTTGCAACTCTTTTAACCTGGCATAAAAGTTCATACTACGGCTCTATAAATTCATAGTGATAGCATCGAAACCAATTCCTCTCTTTCTGTGCACCCCCTCCTTGGCGGGTCCCCTTTGCAGGGCACAAGCTGATTTCTCTTGGGTAGAACGAGACCTTTGTCTTCCAGTGGTGCATGTATTGCATTCCCTTGCCTTTTGCAGAAGTCTTAATGGAAGGTATATTTGTAAATGTTGCGAATGTTCCTCTGAAATACAGCTTGCTATTATTTTAAAGATTAAGAAAAAAAATTAAAATTGTACCTGAGATCATTCTATATGTTATAATTACTGGTTTGCATTAGATTTTTTTAATTTATTGCCTCTTTACAATTGTCCCTGGAGATATATAACTTGGAGAAGAAACGTCTGCATTAGAAACATTAGGTATGCTTATAGTGTTCTGTGTTAGTTAGCTACATATGTGATTTTTCCCAAAAGTGCTTTTACTTTTCTCTGTTGTTTACCTCTGTGGTTGAGAATTAACACATATGCAAAAGGTCCAACTCATCATATGCAAAAAAGTCATACAGTCAGCCAATTTTCTTTATTTACACAACTTTTGAAAAACAAAAAAAAGTTGGTTTTTCAGCTTTCAGGAAGAAATCTCTATGTCATAGCTTGCTTGCAAGGTGTGCGCTGGGGAGTATCATCTTCTCAGTGCGTGTTGCAGTGGTCCCCTTATATTTAATAGAAGACTCTGTGTGTGTGCACGTGTGTGTGTGTGTGTGAGAGAGAGAGACTGCATACCACTATATAATGTCAGTCACTTCCAGATGGGATTGACTAGTTTTGCAGGTAACAAAAAAAAAAATCTTAAAATTCAATGTGTTCGTTTTTCCTATCCTTTTTACCTCTTGCATACGAGTCCTTTTAGACTCGTACTTTCACTGTTGAATTGTTTGATGAAAGTAAGTTAATTATGTCCGTGAAATGATACTTTAAAATTTCCCCTTTTTCCCCCTTCCCTTCTCTGAACCTGTGAAGGCAGTACCCTCTTAGGAATGATACTTGATCATCATTCTAAAGCACATAACATTTCTAAACTCCTGTACTATTTTGTATTCAAAATAGGTGAGAAATTAACCTCTTCAATGAATCTTTAATGTTTGGCAATTTTTCATCATGATAGTTTAATTGGTTGTCTATCGCGTATGTTATAGGTGTGCCATTCTGTCCCCCCCGCCCCCCGCTTAGGGAAAGTGGGCAGGTTTTTTTTTAATACTAGCTTTAGTCAAGGTCTCTTACAAAAAGCATAGAAAACCTTTGTATACCTGAGTTAATTCAGTCCGTTAGTGGAGCAGGGCGATTCATATAATGAAGCCAGGAACAGCTGTAAAAACCCTGACACATTCACACGTACATAAACACACTTCACTTAGTTGTGGTGGGACTGAAAACCGATCCGTTTGAATCATCTTCTGTAGTGCACATATTCAGTGATCCATTATGTAGTATCCCTTTTGGTACCTGAATTGACCACAGCTTATTACACGGAAAAGTCAATAAAAAAATGGTTTCTGCATTTTCATTGGTTTATTAAGTTGTACGCACAGCCATCGCTATCTCAATCTGATTAAATGCAGCATTACATTTTATTGAAAAACGGAGTGCTAAGCAGTTTTGTCCACGAGCTTGAGATGTTTTAGGCTTTGCCTGATCATTTTGTACAAATTGGTTTGAAGTTTTCCCGAATGAAGCTCTTAACAGCTCTTACAGTTTTACTGGAGTAATCAAACCAGCTAAGAAAAGGGATACTGCATCTTTAACAAGCAATGCCATTTTTATTTTCTAAGTCATTGTTGGACTATTTCCAAATGTCCTTCATTTCCTTCCATTTGTTTACCTTCCATATTTTTAATGCTTAGCATGACTACATCAGCATTTCCAGTTGTAAGATTTTAAAATAGAAAACATATGTTTGCATTCAGGAAATGTGTGGTATATATGTCAGTACACACGTATCTGTCGTAAACGTGTATTCTTTAAAATGTGTGTACTCATATAGCTACATATAGTACGCATACAAACATTATGTATACACCTGTGTACCAATAAAGATGTTAAAATGAATGACATGAAATTTGCTTTCTGATTAAATGTATTAATGCAATCTTTAGTTTTTGTCACTGAAAAGTAAAAAGCATATTTACTGCACAAGATTTGTACACAGCTGTTCATTTGTCATGACATCTAGGTGGTAATCATTATATTATGCTGAACTGCATGTTGAAAATACACAATCCATTTAATTTTCAAATTTTTTGGCAATAAATGAAATCTCAGCATGTAATTTTCTCAAGTGATCTTTCTAAAAAACAAATCATTTTTATATGCTAGTGTATTTTTTTTTTTTTAGTTGCATGGCAAAGTAAGGCTAGTTTGTGCATGAGCAAGTTGAAATGCTAACTAAAGAAACATGAATTTTTCAATTTTTTTTTTAAACGCACATTTCTCTGCTTTACTGAATGTGACAGAGTCACGCTTTTCATTCACCATTGCTTCTCTTTTTCCACTGTCTGTGATTTGCTTGCCAGGAGGAGCTACTATTCTTACTCCTACTATCTGTAAGTAGAATACGGGTGACTTACTATTTTACATGTTTTAAAGATGCAGTATCCCTTTTTAAAAAAGAAAAACAGTCTCTATAATTTTCCTAAAGTTTTATTGATGGTTACCTTTCTTTATTCTCAGGCTTGAAAAATTGCTTGTATTGTTGTTCCTGTTGTTCTTACCCTGTTTTTTTTAAAGGGATATTGTATTTCTAACTGTATATTGAGACTTTTGCTTTTTGCTACAGTTTTTCCCATAACTATCATTTTGGTTTATTGTAATCATAATTTAATTTGCATTATGATTCACAGCGACACATCACACTAAGGAAAAAACCACTTTCCCCATTTCCTAGCTAGAGAACTGTGCTTGTAAATCACAAATTGTTCTTTCTTAGCGTATCAGTTCAGGAGTGATCCTGTGCACCGCTTTTCCTACACAGATCACAGGCAGATGCCAGACCTTTATAAATAGGTCTGTGCCCTACCAACGGCAGAGCAACACGTCTGCCTTTGTGGTACCAACCGGTTTTGGTTTGGTTTTTTTAATAGAAATATTTTTTGTGAAGTGGTCTGCATCTGCTGCTTGTAAGGTGCTTTGCATACACATTTTAAAGTGTGGATCTTACTTTATGACACTGGTTTGCATAAAGTTTTGCTTCATTGAAGCAAAATTGACTTTTTTTCTACGTGTTGACCAAATGAGTGTTTGTGAGGGCTGCAGCAGTTTTGGCCGTGATTGAGCAAAGCAGTTACACACATTCTTAATTTTAAATAAATGCATAAAGCCCTTGACTTCAGAGGGGATCTAAGAATGCGCTGAAGTGCTTTGATGAACCAGTCGTGTCTGATAATGATGCTCTTCCACGTTTTTAAGCAGATTAGTTGACTTCTTTAAACAAACTTAAAAATAAAAAAAAAAGCTAAGCTGGCTTAGCTAACTGCCATTCTCCGGTTTATTGTGACAAATTATAATTTCCTTGTTAAATAACAATTGCTTCAGCTCGAGATAATTAACTGCACAGTTTCATCCTATGATGGAACACTTTTCCCCTCCAGCTCCCACTGAAACACCCACCTGCCAGGTTCACCCAACTGGATCCTTTAGCAGATAATGAGAATCATTTACACTTTCTGTCAGCCTCAAGTACTTTAACCTAAGGATTTGCTTAACTCTCCTGAAGCATAGATTGCGTGTGCCTTTAGCCTAGTGAGGGAAAGGGAAAAGGAAAGGAAAAAGAAGTCGTCAAACCCCGAGGGAGCCAGGAGCTGTTGAACAATAAAGCAGTCCTCCCGTTTCCCAGCAGCTTTGGGTTGCAGTGCTACAACACAGTGGGCCGTTTTAGGAGGTGAAGCAGAGCATAAGAATTAGAAAGTAGCTACTGTAATAAGCTAATAACTTGAAAGCCTTAATAGCTGTTGATTTATTTAGCGTAGCTAGCAAGTTTTGTTGAAGTGATGCTTCAAAGAAGGGCTTAATATAGTCGAGAGATGAGATGTAGTAGTCTTTTTGTTCCATTTCTGAGGTGGCGTTAGGAAAAGGTGATCTTCACTGTGTAGAGACTATCTGAAAGGCTTTGAAACTTAAAAAAACAGTCTGAACTAGAAATGCCAGTTTTGTGTAAGCTTTGATAGCATTGGGAACCAGTTGTAAAGCTCAAGCAGTTTCACTTCTGGAAGTTCTGATTGTCTTCATTTGTTCGACCAGAGTATCATTTAAACCAACTTTTCTTAAGTAAATAGGAATGTGTGGAGTAAATGTATAAAATAAAGCATTTTAGGGGGGACATTCAACTGTCACTGTTTTTTTTTAATTTTCACTGAACAACTGATACACACAGAACCCTCATGTACACCGCAAGGGTCTGATGAAAAAATGATAGGTTTAGAGACCACGTTTGGGATTTTTGTAGCAGGGGGTTATTGAGTAGCAATTCTCCAACTAGTAAAAGAAACGGGGGGGGGGGCGGACAAAATAACGAGATGAGTCTGATTGGTGAAAGAATCTTTGTTATTCTCAGGAGTGCTTTGTCCATCTGTATCCTACTTTGTGGCCCCTTATTGTGCATCAAGACTATTAACTTAACAATCTAACATTTTCTTAAATATGCAAAAACATGAAGTGCTCCCTGCCCTAGAGAGTGGTGTAGGTCCTTTCTGGTGGATGTTCCCAGGACTTAACAAGTAAATTTAAGATAATTTACACTAATATTCTTTTTGTCTACTGTTAGAGTGTGGCACAGAATATTAAAAGTTATCAGAGAATAGAGGAAGAGCAAGCAATCCTTTTAGTCAGAGAAATGTAAGATAAACACTGTCTAAACAGTTAACAGGATATTTGATGATATTTTATGCAGAAAAAGCTTGTGAAGCTAAGCTGTGTTTTAAACATACATTTTCAAGAACCCAGTATTTTCCGTGATGATTGTGTCTCTCCCACGTGGTGTCAGATTTATCCAAATAAGCAGGTTGGCTATCTATTATATTGCAGTCACAGCTTCAGTTGAAAACGGGGAGATTTCAGAGCAGTCTAAAGTACGTCACAGGTTCCTGCAGAACCAAGGTGCATTTCATGCTGCTCTGCATTCTTCCTACTACTTGAGATATATGCTTTAACAGTAGTTAAAAAGTAGTTAAAGTTTAACAGGCTTTAAGTGATAATTAAAATATATTGTCTGCTTCCATCTGACTTCTGGAAACAGTGAAAATCACTTCCAGTTCTTCATCAAAAGGAAAGAATTAAGAGATATTTCTGAAGCGTGCACTTTAAGGGCATTGGCTGTTAATTTGGGGGGTTTGGTTGTACAGATTAGGTTGCTGTTTAACTGTGATACATTCAGAGTGTAAGACTGTTAATGTCAAAATTTAAGATGTTCCCAAACTGCATGAAAGGGTAGAGCAGTGAGGAGGGTTTTGTTTGTTTTTTAAAGAACCAAAGTTCAGTGTCAGGCACAAAGTGTGGTATCATGTTGTATCATGTGTACTGAATGGGAAGAACAACTTTTAACATAAAAGGTAATATGAATCCATATCAAATAATTACGTTTCTTTTGTTATTTCATCGGGTTTTTGACTAACAAAGTAATTTAGAAGGTTAAATGATTTCTTCCTAACAAGGCAAGCAAGGGGAATGAATTATCCATTTATAAAATCAAAACACAGATTTAAATGGAGATGGTTGATAAAACTGCATGCACAGATGCTTCTTATTTATCGTTTCAGTTAAAATGTAATTATATTTTCTAATTTGTTTATATTAGTGTAATTACTCTGCAGGAAAAAAAATATTACCAGGGTACAGAAGTTAGCACTTCCATTACAGCATTTGTGTGTGCACAGAAAACACAGGGTCGTGACTCTTTCATAGCAGGGTGCATAGTTTTATCAATTTCACGCTGGAAAAGTTGTACACAGGAAGATCAGCCAAACTTTTCGGTCACTCAGGATTATAGATAATGATTACTGTAGACATCAATGTTCATCAAGTATTAAGGTGGTTTGGGTTGTTTTTTTTGGCTGGGCAGCAAACTTGCGAAGAAGCGCAAGGATGCCATGGGGACCACCCGCCAGGAGATGACACACATGGTGAATGCGATGGATAGGAGTTACGCTGACCAGAGCACCCTGCATGCAGAGGATCCCCTTTCAATCACATTCATGGACTCTCATAACTTCAGCCCCAGATGTAAGTATGACAGTGATAGATACTCTGGAGTGTAGGTGAATATAGAAACACGTAAAACAATTCTACTTTTTAAGGAAAATTGTTGTAAGCTCCAGGTTTTCTAGGAACATTGGTAAACCCAAAGGTTGAGTAGAGATGTTCGTACGTTATCCTTATTGGTATGTGGCCAGTTATTTAAATATTTACATGTACTTTCAGTATGCATTGTCACTCGTTCTGAGGAAAATATTACACTTCTAGAGTATCTCAATTAAAATCTGAAATTGAGTTTTCCCTCATGAGGATATTTAATACCAACACGTCAAATATTACTGCGTAACACCATGTCTGTAATGAATAATAATATGATGTCCAAATTAATTTCTTTCTTTTGGCAGTAAGGACATTATAACAGAAGGAAACATTGACAATTTTTGTTGCTGTGTGAAGTTTAGGAAAAAGCTTGTTAATATATCTGCAAATTTGCTCTATATTTGTATTCCTTTTTTGTAGACTTGCCAACTGTCTGGTTTTGACAAAGTTTGGCAGTTTGGGTTTCTGACTGTTAAGTGTCTGGGTTATAGCTACCACTGTCCAGCACGCCTGCCTCCCAACATCTGCACTATGCCTTGCACAAAAGCAAGATACTCCACTGGCAGACTCTGAATACCTCAAAACTAGTGTGTAAGTTACTGAAGGGACACAATTCTGCCATGGAGCTGGCAGGAACCTGACCTTCTCACAGCCACATGGACTTGTGGCTTGGCTTTAAACAGATCTGAGCAGTGTGAGCTGCTTCTGAATTGCCATCTTTGGGGAATGGCGCTCCATCTCCCTTCTCCTGCCTCCCATACTGCTTACCATGCTTGAGCAAAATGCATCCCTTAAGGCTCTTAAGTTCTTTCCTGATTGTTGTAAGGGAAATGGATTTTGGAGGAAGGTTTATTGTTCAGTTTATTGAAGCTTACCAAACTGCAGAGTGCTAACATTTTAAGTGTCTCATAACCAATTATAAATGGGAGTTTAGTATCAGCCTGTGAGGTTTTCTACACAGTTTTGGCTGGAACTGTTTGAAAATTCTCCAAAGTTTGATGTCTTATTGGCATTGAAATTTGTGGAGGCAGGTTTGCAAAGGCAGTTCGATTTGGACTAAGTTATGGTGGATCCCAGGCAAAGTATCCATCAGGAACCTACATGGCTATTAGTAAGCCGGGGCTTCCAGGCACGAGCCAGGGCTTCCAGGCACTTGGGCAGCCTTCCAGATGGACTGACGTGACACCAAGAGCCCATGAGCCCCAGCCCTCCAGCTGTCCTGGTTGGTTGGCAAAGAAGTCTGGCATCACTGTTTTCCAGCGTCCTAGGTATGTGATTTTTGGGTGTTGGAGAATTCAGTTCCGACCATCGTCTGTGCTGAGGCAAAGAACCTTCCAAGCTTCCGGGGTTTTCTGCTACGTGAAAAATTTTTAGGCAGATTGCTTGAGAACTGGAGCTCAATTTTGTCACAGAGCTGTTGATATTTTAAATTTTTGTTCCAGATTGGAACAAAATCAAATTCTGGATTCTGCCATTTCTGTCCGAAACAGCGCATTTGTCTCTGTGTGGTTCTAGTTGTGATAACAAATGATAAAATCCTATGAATTTTATTCAAACATCTGCATCTGTGTACCTGTGATTTTCTTATACTCATTAAGAGCAGTATCTTTGGCACTGCATGTAAAAAAGCTATTAACTGTAAATATGTATATATTTTTTTTAATGACCTGGAAGCCTTTAAAGAAATACCATTTTATTTGGAGGTGAGCTATTCAAGTATTACATGAGAGGATGTGTTTAAAAGAAAAGGAGCTGGTTCTATGAAAGTGAACCTTTATTGTGAAGCTAAAGAACAATAGTGAAGGAGAAGCCCTTTCAAAAACTAAATTGCATGTAATATCTTCTTTATTTCGTTTCAGTAAGAATCTCTTTGCCTTTATCATTATGTTTCTGAAGTCCAAAATCACTGCCTTTCATTCCTCTTTTATTCAGGATGCTTTCTGGAACTCTGTATTCATTCTGTTTTCCTGTTGTAACAAAATTAATGGGGTTTAGTTATCACCTGGTTATACTCTGAAGTATATTGTTTTTATTCTTAAAAATACACAAATTGAGGGTAATGTATTTCTTCATGAGCTTTGTTTTCCTACAGTGCCCAATGATCCACTTGTGCCGACAGCTGTGTTAGGTGAGGACCCTAGTCCTTCATTATCCATTCCTGCATGAGTTTTGTCTCCTTGCATGGTTGAACGTTGGAACAGCTTGTTTTATATAAAAGATAGCTATGCTGTTGTCAGAAAATAACTCTACACTCAGTTTATCAATTCAGAATTAAACTGACACTGCTTGGAGAATAAAAATTATTTTATGTTCTCATTAAGAAGTTATTCCTAGTCAGTGCCAACTGAAGAGTAAATGAGGAAATAGGTAAATGGAAAATACTAAAACTTTTCCCCCCAGAGCATTCAAACCGAGTTCCAATGAACTGACGTGTGAAACTAGAACTCTCTTAAGAGATAAGAAAAAATAAAATTCAGAACGATATAGTATTATTTGGTACCCAAAGCTTGATTTTCTAAGTAAGTAACAAGAATGAAAATAAAAATAGAAAAGGGAAGAACTGAAATACCCAAGAACAAACAACAATTTCTTTGTAGGTTCTGTACAAATATTCTTGTATACCTATATTAATTACATTTTTCAATTGACTGTAACTAGTAAGTTTTTCAACTTTATACTCACTTTAAAAAGAACGGATGTTGGGAGTGGCCAGCCTGCTTATTTCTATGTCGCATCTAACACTGAATGCACATTTTAGAGCTTTTTAAAAAAATACAGAGATAAAAGTATAATTTGTACCCAAGTTCTTGGTTTGATAAACACAATGTGCAGTATTGAGTTTCAGTCAGTTGCTGAGGTTATTTTAGGATAAAAGACAAATATCAGGAAGTAGACATAAATATAAACTGAGGTTGAAAATTAGATTTCCAGAGGTAAAGCTTAAAGGAACCTGGAGGCAATTTAATCCCTCCTCTGTTTTGAGATGAGACGTTATACCTATAGGATAGACTGTTTCTGGCAATTGATTGTCTATTGTGTTTTAAAAATCTGTAGTGAAAAGAATTTTACTTTTGCAGTGGCATGTTCCAGTGCCTCGCTCCTCCTAAATAAAAATAAAATTCAGATCCATATTAGTATTATTTGGGACCCGAAGCTCAATTTTCTAACTGAGTAATAGTTACTACTAACTGGGTGTTACTACTGGGTATTATTACTGCTCACTCCTAGTTTTTCCTAACTAGACGAATCTAGACTACATCCTCATTGCTTTGAATTGAGCAATTTCCTTTTGACAGACTCATAGAAAATACGGAGAACTGACACACTCCTGTCCTTTTAAAACAGCCTTTTACCCATTGAAAGGCTCACGTGTCCTCAATTGTCTCTCTTCTAGTTGAGTTAAACCCAGTTCTTTCACTCGTCGTCTTGTAGCTGATGTTTTCTAAACCTGTTATCATTCTTTTCCTCTGAACACTTTCCAACTCATAGGTCGAATTTTTAAATTGTGGTGCCCCAAATCAGGTACAGTTCTTAGAGGAATTCTCAATGCTGAGCTGAGTGGAATAGGTACCCCATGCCCTACTTGTAGTGTTCCTGCTACCTGAACTGTATTTTGTCCTTTTTATTGCACTTGTGTTGCTGACTTGTATTGAGATACCTGCTAAAATCCCAGTTATCGTTGCCCAGTCCATTAATCCATTTTGTAGTTACATATTTGACTTCCCTTTCCTACACACAGTATGTTGCATTCACTGTTTAATTCACTTTGTTGATTTGTGCACTGTTTCCCAAATAATCAAGATAACTTTGAAATCTGATGCTGTACTTGTGAAGTGCTTGTGGTGCCTTACTGCTCAGTGCCCTCTGCCCATACTGTCAGGGTATTTTCTATCCCATTATGCAAGTTGTGAGTAAAAATGCTGATAGAGAGTATACCCAGGAGGAGCCTTTGCAGATCTTCATGTAAAGTGTCCTCTGAGACTGACAGCAAATCACTATTTGTGAGTAGTCTTTGGTCTTTGTCAAGCTGGTGTATACTCACCGTGTGGGAGACTTATCAAGTCATATTCTGCCCATTTCCTTTTGATAATGTTGCAAATGCCATTCTCTTGACTACAGTAGCGTCTTAGAAGGTTTATAACCATCAGAGCAGTTAGATGCTGGAGCCTTCCACTTTGGGCCCAAGGAAACCTAACCAGGTGGTTTAAGAAGTTTATGAGGGATGGTGAAATAGCACTGTTGCCTGAAAGAGCAAAGGGGTAGACTCAGTAATTCTGAATACTTCCCAAAATTAGATCAGTGGACTTACAGAAAATGAGTCTTTTCCTGAAATTCTTCTAAGATCTTCTCGTATCTTTTAGCTTTATTTCAGGCACTTACAAGCTGCATAGATACTATCTGGTGATACTTGTCAAGCTATTCCTAATAGCTCATTTAGGCTATAAGCATATTCTAAAGGTCAATGTGTTGCCACTGCATTATGGCAGACACAGACACGGGCAGCTGTGAACAGCGAGGACAAGGGATTAATTGAAGAACAGTTTAATAGTTCCTGTCTGCATTTCCATCTACCAGTAATGGTGTTTTGGGCATGATATTCTCCTGGTATAAGCAAAGCAATGCTAGTTGGAAGAGGTAATATTTTTCATTGCATGGACTGAAGTAGCGGAGAGAAGTAGGCAAGCTTTTGGGCACACCATGTAGAAGGGGTTGGGTAACCATAAGCTTCTTCCTTTGGAACTAGATCATTTGGCCTACTCCATCTCAGTGTAGCCCTTGCTTGGCCCAGCATCACAAAACAGTTTCCCTCTGTTTTACTTAGAGATGAGCAAAATTTTATGGGCTCTAAATTATAGAACATGTTATTTTATATGAAGCTCTTATTACTTTATAGCTGTACTAGGTTTCTTTTTCTTCATGTATAGGTTATTAATGCTACTTTCCATTCTGTGTACATTAGCACTAAGTTAGTATGACAATTTTGCTTTTCTCAAGTCCCTATCATTACATTGATGGCATAATAATGTGGCCCTTATATTTTTAAAACGGCTTTCATTGTTACCTATTGTGAAGCTTTAACAACTTTTAATGTCATTTTCTTTTAGTAATTTTCTAGTATAGTCCTGAAATAAATTTCTTATGTTCTGTTCACTCATTGTTTTTTGCTGCTTCAATGGGTTAAAGTGCCTATTACTGGTAAGTATATGGCGAGGAATGGGGAGAACTGCAAATCCTGAGGTGGTTTGAAATGTGTATGATTTAATATGGTTAACACTACAATAAAAAGTGACTGCTGCATGTCACTCACATTATTAGGCAGTTTAGTAAGGCATAAATATACTGAAATTAGCAACTTATGTGACAGTTCAAAGAATCGGGTTTCTTGCTAGGAGATCTCATTTCAGAAGGCATTAACGGGGTTTGCATTTGGTGGAATTGTAGAAAACCCAACCCTTTGGGTGTTCATTTTTTTCCTAGAGTGTTTTACTTCCTAATCTGGATCCTTTGCATGGAAAATGGTAAACTGATTTCGAAGACGTATAGGAGGGGTTGGCTACCCACTTCTCATTTCGGTAGCTACTTTCCAAAAAAGGTTTCTAGAATTTTTCTTCCTCTCTAAATTCATTTGAACTGCTGATTGCTAATTGGAAAAAACGATATTTCACAGAAGGGATTGACTAAATGTGATCACTTCATGCAGCTTTGACATTTGGTTTTGATAAGAGAATTGGTGTAACATAGGGCATTAGAGGAGACTTCTTTGTTTATACAGAGCAAAAACCGCGGCTGAAATCAGCACACTCAACAGTTTAATTTCTCTACTAAAAGACCTGAGTTAAAATGACCACTCTGAAGTGAGGAGACTTTTTGTTTATACAGAGCAAAAACCGCGGCTGAAATCAGCACACTCAAGTTTAATTTCTCTACTAAAAGACCTGAGTTAAAATGACCACTCTGAAGTGCTGATTCATCTTCCCAAATGGAGGTAGTGTTCTGAAGCGGTAGCATAATTGCTTCTCTTTTTTACTTGGATCTCAATTTACTGTTTGTTGGCTTTAGACAAATGATGTGCTGATACCACTACAGAGTTATTCTAATTTATTGTTTAAGGAGTTTAATTTCTCTACTAAAAGACCTGAGTTAAAATGACCACTCTGAAGTGCTGATTCATCTTCCCAAATGGAGGTAGTGTTCTGAAGCGGTAGCATAATTGCTTCTCTTTTTTACTTGGATCTCAATTTACTGTTTGTTGGCTTTAGACAAATGATGTGCTGATACCACTACAGAGTTATTCTAATTTATTGTTTAAGGTGTAGTATTGCTGTTGATACATATCAGCCATTAAAAAAGTTACTTTGGGTGATAGAGGCTGGAGTTTCCAAGTACATTAATGTCATAAAGTTTTGTAGCTTCAAATAAAATGCCCTTCAGACATCTTTATTGCGGGATGAAGGATTGCAAACTTTTGTATGTGTTTGCAGTTAAATTCCTTTATGTACTTCACAGTATTTATGTGCTGGAGAGCAAGTGCTTTGCATTCTCAGAAATTAGACATGTTTTTGAAGGAAGAGATTGAACATACATATTCATATGTATAGCAGCAGGTGTAATTGCCCCGCAGGTACGTAACGCATTGGTTTCTTGTGAATACAGATGAAAATCACAGTGCGACAGCAGAGTCCAGCCGGCTCCTGGATGTCCCTCGTTACCTCTGCGAAGGCACAGAATCCCCGTACCAGACTGGGCAGCTGCACCCTGCCATCAGGGTGGCTGATCTGCTGCAGCATATTAACCTAATGAAGACCTCTGACAGCTATGGATTTAAAGAGGAGTATGAGGTGAGATCTTCAGTGGTGGGTTTTTGCTAGGAAAAATCCCTTTGAAAGGGGCAGCCTTTTGTTTGCATTGCATTGCAAGAGGATGCAACTATGTCATGGTTTTAAGTGAAAAACAGATAAAGATAAGCAGGCATAAGATTCCTGTATGTGTAACCCGGAAGTGAAATCGTGAGTGGAGTCCAGTGGTTTGAGCCATTAAAAGTGCCTGGAAAGAACACTATCTGTATCCTCTAGGACATAAGAAGACATGCCCTGCTGAATCGTTCTGGCATATTGTAAGAAGCTGCCACCCTTTTGTCGCTGCTTCTTAGTTGAAATGCTGTAATTAATTATGTGAGTTTTCCGAGCCATCTTCAGTGCAGATCTCCTGGATTAGGTTAAAGTGAAGATTTAACCTGGCTGGTTTTGCGAGAAGCACTGACTGAAAGCACTCTCATGATTTATTATAGCATCTCAGTAGGGCAGTACTGGGACTAAACTCCAGCTGAGAAGCAGTAAAGACGTGCCGAGGGTAGTAACTTCTTGAAGTTCTAATTAGACCTGCCCGAGCATCTCTACTTACAACTTTAATGTTAAAATGGAAGCAAAAAATTCCCAGCACTGGAGGTAGAAGATGAGTACAGATTCATTTCGCTTCTGATCTCTGAATCCGTTGTGATTCTTTGGGATTAGAATATCAGGCAGGACATTCAGTAAAGATGGGAATGGTACTGCCAAGGTCGCATGCAATACAGCTAGGTTTAAAATGAGTTTTCTCTGAGTAAGTAATCTCTTCTGACTCAGTTTTCAACCTTCTCTCCTTTCTGCAGCTGTCTCTACTGTAACATAAGAACTGGAATAAATAAATGTGTGGTTTTTAAAAGAATATTATTCTCTTTTCCTCTCTTTTACTTAAATACGCCTCGTTATGCTCTGCCTAACTTCAGGGCTAAACCCAAGTGTCAACTGCTGCTGCGGGGAGGGTGGCCCCTGATGCCACATCAGGTGTTCTCCTACTTGTTGCTACTTCTATTACCATACATGATGTCTTTGCCCTGGCTTGGGCTTCTGAGTGTGCATTGAAGTTTTGTTTCTGTGGCTACTGTGTACTTTCTGGAGGTAACTTACCCAGGTCAGGATAAGAGAACATCTGGAAAGAAAGAATAGCATAGACCTGCAACAGCTGTAAAATATCTGCGGGCAATGAAGAAAAAGCCGAGGAGGAATAAAAGCTGCTTCTATCACTACTGAGAGATCAGACTCTTAAGAGTTCAAAAATGTAGAATAATTTTGCTAGTGGCTAGAGGGAGGTATATGAGGAGAACCAACATGAACGATAAACATTGGCAGAGGAGGCTTCCTGATGGCTCTGTAAGAAGAAAAGCCATTTTACTAAGCAATGTGAGGAAAGCAATGTAATTCTATAGTAAACAGGCTATATATTATGGTGTCTTGTAAGAAGGGTGATCGGCCTCCCTGTGCTTTCTCAGCTTACTCTTGTTCCTCCATAGCAAGGATGTCTGAGCAAGTTTAGCCTTCCAGCAATTCCAGGATTTGAAATCCCTCTGGAGTCCTTCAGTGACTTGCCCATTGACCTATAGCAGTCAGAGGGAGAGAGCCTCCCTTCTTCTCTAGATGTATTTCTATACCACGGTGCCGTCTGGGTGACCAGAGCAGATGAGCAAAGCTGAGCTTACTTTATGGTAGGGCAGTTCTTTTAAACTGTTATTTTTGGAGATAAATTAATGGTCAGAATGTTTTCTTTCGGAACGTTTTTATTTATAGAGTTTCTTTGAGGGGCAGTCAGCTTCTTGGGATGTCGCTAAGAAGGATCAAAACAGAACAAAGAACCGCTATGGAAACATTATTGCATGTGAGTATCAGTGTGCTTGGTTTGAGCGGTAGCCGTAGTCGTGTGTTACTCGTCCCATGTTCTCTCTTTCTTTACAAGTCTCCAGTGGCATAGCTGCTTAATACCCCGAGCGGAGGAAGAGGACAGTGCCTTTTCCAGCATTTTTTTTTGTTTCTCACAGTTCAACTTTCTTCCTTTTATAACTCAGGCTGAATTTCACATTTGCATCTCTGTTGTGCAAGCTGTGGTAAGCATATAACAGCGACAAGCTAGCACTCATTTGAATGTTAATTCTGTGGCGGTTTTCTACAGTTATAATTTATTTCAGCTAAATCTGACAGCTTCAAAACTTTTCTGCTTTATGTGATTTATAGCTGATACATCTGAATAGCGGTTGTGTAAAACTGATGATTAAAAGACGTGACTAAAATCAGAGGGTTCTGTCTCTTGTCTTTAGGCATAAAGTTTCAATAGTTTAGATTCATCCCCTGGGATAACACAATTTGTTACTGTTTTACAAATGTGATCGAACACACAGGAATGAAGCTATCGGAGAAGTCCCCAAACGGGTAGAGTTACCTCTTCATCAAATCCAAAGTGCATTGCTAACCATTGCTAACTTACTTTTTTAATGTCTCAGTATGAACTGAAGCAGGCTGGGGTCAGAAGTAAGGAAACCGTAATCAGGAGTTTTGGTTTTCTAGATTGCCATCAGTGGAGCTGATTTTGAAGGGGACTTTGAGCAAGTAACCTGGTTTCTTTGTGTCTGTAACGGTGTGATACCTTTCAGCTACACTTAATGAAGTTTAGTGAATGTTTTTGAAGTAATTGGAGACCTCAGACAAAATGGCTCTTTGTAATTCTGTCTAAACACTTACTATTTAAGGGTTGTAAATTGTGAGGCACTTATGCCAGCTGATTTTGGTTTTCTAGATGACTTACCATAATATCTTACTTAAAAATCACACTTCAAAAAGGCACCATAACTACTTGGTTTTTACAGATGACCACTCCAGGGTGATTTTGCAACCTGTTGAAGATGATCCATCTTCAGATTACATTAATGCCAACTACATAGATGTGAGTGGATTGCACAGCTTTCTTCCTCTCAATTTGCCAGCTTCTCTATGTGAAACTATTGCATGTTATGCCTACAAATTTATTGAAAGCTTTCTTTTATTAAGAACAAAATGTACACTTTCCTTGTTCTACGTCCTAGTACTCACTGACATTGTTGTGCTTTCTTTCACATCTGACTTTGGTTTGGGCTGTAGATTTGGCTGTACAGGGATGTAAGTACCACTATATGTGAATAACGGCATCCTATTGTAAATATTTAATATAGATATTGTTATTAATTACTTTCCTATTCTATTTTTATCACTAGATAACTATGCATGCCTCATCTAATTTTTCATGTGTTCCTTTAAAAAATTCCGTTTTGTGTGAATATTTTTTGTACCTGTTTTGAAAAGATAATTTAGCCTTTTAACATAGTTCTGAATATTGTTAGGTATTGTTAGATAACTCAGGTGAACTTGTCTGTTAAAGAGAATTTGCTGTTCACTTTTTTTTATGATGATGATTTTGGCCACTAGCTTTTCTTCTCCTATTCCCATTTAAATGTGAGAAGCCGGATAGTATACTGTACTGTAGTTGTCTGAAAAAGTACCTGTGAAGTAATTGTAATATATGTTTGGCAAAAAGGGAGGGATGGTGGCCTTGGGGGGAGGGGGTGTGTTTTTAACAACAATTTAGACAAACAATATTTAGCTGACATTTGTCTTAAGGTGCTAATTTAGGTATTATAATGTATATACACAAACATATATATATAAAAAAATATTTTAACATAGTAGAAAAATTCTCGCTTCTGCAGAAAACTTCTAAAGTTTGAAATTCCATGCTTTGATTAAAATACAAATTAAATCATAAATTAAAAAAACCCAACTGATACAAACAGGAAATTTGAACAAATTCTGCCAGGCATTTTGGTTAACGAAATATAACTTTTATCCAATTAACACCTTAGGAATAAGCAAGTTCTTGTATTCAAAGTAATTCAAAAGATACTGGAATAGCTAGTACAAGTGTTTTTAAAATAAATGGCTTTGGTTACTTTTCTTTTTAATTGTACCTTACTAATTTTTCCTGTCCACTGTTAGTTGATAAATTATTTAAGACCCTCTCGACTTTCCAGTATATAAAGATTTAGCTCCAGGTATATCGCTGTCTTTTTATTTTGATATTTTTACACAGCAATCCCTGTGAAGTGTCAGGCCTATGATATTTTGCCTGGGGCCTTAAACAAGAAAACTCTCCCAGATTTGTAATAATTCCAGTTCCTTGAAGTTGTTGTTTCTCTTATTTAGGAGTAAATTGAATCTCATTATAACCAGACAGGAAAACTACAAGTTAAAACTGGCACTTTGCAATTTTAAAGTGACACTTTAACCTTCTTCTGGAAAGCATTACTGAGTGTAAAACAGTGTAGCATAGGTTCCACTTTCATAATTTGAAGCTGGGGCTTGATATTAAGGACTCCAGGAGAGATTTTTTTAGTCATTTGATGCAATCTTGGTCTCTTGCAAAGCCAAGTGTAAGATACTCAGAAGTTTTTTCATAAGCCCCAGAGGAAGGTGCTCTCATTCTAGACAGGATAATGAAGCAGTCTGTGGAAAAGGATATAAACTCCTCGGGTACATTGAAATCCTTCACTTGTAGCATCTTGCGAATGCCAGGAATCGAAGGAGTCGTGCTCCCCTGTAATGCAATACTTGAATCAAGTGGCCTAATAAAACTGTAACCTAGAAAATAATTGGAGTTACTTCTTTAACATTTGCACATTGTGAAATACTGTATTGTCTTCTCCAGCAATACTAAAGTTTCCTTCCTCTTTGTAGCTAATGTTGCTGGCACTGGCCAAAATATATTCTGAATGATTTCCTCAAGAGCAGAATCTCTTTGTCCTGTAGTTTTTATGCAGATGATTAATGCTGTACAGTACCGCTAGCATTGGCATAGACCCACCTAACTGGAAAGGCTTCGTCGTGTAGGGTTATCTATCTATCTATATATGTATGTGTATATACTTGTGTGTATCATGTCCAGTATAATTGATGCACTCTTTGTGCAGTAGCGCAAAATATTTTGCAGAAGATTCCACTGCAGTAGGACCTTGATTCTGTGCACACGCCACAGCGTCCAGCTCTGTCCCCGTTAGTTATGGCTCGGGTACATACCTCTTTGTGCCTTACAATAATTCTCTATTTGGAAGAAGACAAAAGGTGTGTATTTTTTCATACTGGATGAGTTGGGAACACAGATCAACTACTGAGATAATCTGGTGGCAAAGACAATTTTTACTAAATTTTAAATAAATGCCCCAGTGTATTTGGCTGGGGAGATAATGTCAATAGAGGACATAATAATTTTTAGGCCCAAGGGACCTGTCTAGAATACTCCTTCCCGTACAGTACAATGTCTGTTCAAGTCAGATGTTCTTATTTCCATTTTATCTGTTGTCATTTGAACCTTTTCAGTATTAACGAGCTTTTTTAGGTTTTGAGCTTCATGCTACTCTTAAATATTGGTTTGTTCTGAAAACGTTGTCTAGAGATAAGAATTCTGTAGTACCCTTATGCTTTTATTTTCCCTTCTCTGTTGGTAATATGGTACTCAAACCAACTTATATTGCTGTTTTAGGGGTATCAGAGACCAAGTCACTACATTGCAACCCAAGGTAAGAACCTGCCAGCATTAATCAAACCAAACAAGTGTTTTCTGTAGTGTCCAGCAGTGTTTTGGTAAAATGGAAGTAGGTGAAAATAAAGTCTATCCAATATTGTGAGTTCTTGTCTTGTGTTATGGTAAATTAACAAGGCATGTTCAGGTGGAATGTGAATAAATGCAAAAATTGCACTAATTTATCATGTTAATTAGATATTGAGCAACTCTTTCAGTGATAAATTCAGCTGATAAAGTCAGAAGCTACTACCGTGATTTCTGATTATGAAGATGGATAGAGAAAAGAGGCATGTGGACAGAGAAGAGAACAGTTTCAACCTGCCTTGAGGCATTTTTCTTTCCATATTACAATGTATTATTTTACTGTCTAGGATTTAGTCCAGGATGGACGGTGAAGATAGTAATGATAAATCAAATGCTGTCTCAGAAGATCTGGGTAAAGTAAGGCCAGAGAAGGACAAAACCTCTTTGTAGGAAGAAGTGAGGGAAATCTTTATCATATAACACCCTGCTAATAAAAAGGGGAGTTAGAGGAAAAAAATTAATTTCTATGGAAATTATTCATTTTGTATTTCTGATAAAACTCCTCACAATGAGGAAAAACAAACAGATTAGTCTAAGATTGCACTGAAATATCAGAGGCTATGAATTAAAGTAAAAATAATTAGATTTAGATGTGTCATTATTTGATCTGTGAGTATAATCAGATAGCTGGCTGGAAATATCCTGTTATTTGTGCCCTCAGTTGATCGTAGCTGCACACAGGAAAGACAAATTAAAGGCTTGTTTTAAAGCAGGATGCTCAGATTTCTGTCCACATTTTTTTTATTTTTGTGTAAGTGCTGTCTAAACAGGTCTCTCTATGGCAGTTAAGTCTACATTTGTATTTTATTTCTGTTTTACTATGTAAATCATTGCACATAATAGTGTATAAAGGACACAAAAATTTATTGCTGTTTTAGTATGCAGCCTTCAATCTAGCATACGAAGGAATATGGTTGAATCTTCAGATGTGTGTTATATACAGTAATATTTATTCTGTTGCTGGACTGTGGTCAGGGAGCTGTTTCTGAGATGATTGTAACAGGGTAAAAGCCTCTGTCGGTCAACTGAACATGTCTTGTCTCTGCAGCAGAGCAGGAGGCAAAGCTTAAACAAGTGCTCCTCGTTTGCTTCACAGAGAAGTAGTTAAGTTAGTTTAAATACCCTTCAGTGGGAAGTTTATGTATCAGCACCTACTCGAGCTTGCGCGCTTTGCCGGGAGCTAGATGGTAAGTGCACAGGATCTGTACCACCAGCCCTCCTGACTGAGGCTTCACTCCGGTGTGGGCGTCTCCTCGGTGGAAGTCTGAAGAAACTCCCACTCAACACATTATATTTAACAAATGTAAAACAAACCTAGAAATGTAACTGTAGATGTCATCACACATTGCTGTGTCCTTGTAGGTTTCAAGCAACTTCTGGTGTTTTGCTAAGTGAAACACCTGCTATTAATTTCTTTCAAGTGGTAATTCAGTTAAACTGAGAAGATTCAGCATTGGTTAGAAATAACAATATAGTCTGGAAACTGGCATGATGGTATGATGATGTGGTTTCACGAAGGTTTCATCTTTGAGCAAGTGTGTTCATGTGTATCAACTCTGAAAAGCACTAGATTTTATTTTTAGCGTTCGCTTTGACTGTTACTTTTTTCAGAGTATTACCTGGAATTTTTTCTTACAGGTCCAGTTCATGAGACTGTGTATGACTTTTGGAGAATGATATGGCAGGAGCAATCAGCTTGCGTTGTGATGGTCACAAATTTAGTGGAAGTTGGGAGAGTAAGTTTTTGGTTTGTTTTTCTTTTAATGCTACAAGCCTAAAGAAAAACCTGCTGACAAGACACACTATCAGCAAAATGTAGAAGAGTCTTGTGAAGGACAAGCCTGCATCCTGAGAGGAGGAGAACGGGGAGAGTCCAGACATTGTTGCAGTTACGGTATTGCGTAAAACCAAAGCTAACTTCTGAAGAAGACTGATGCTGTGTTGCTTTCACGAGTCGTGAAAAATTGTCTGAATCCAAAATTCGTATTTCAGCAAAATAGATTTGTATATTGTCACTCAAATGAGCAGAGTAAGTAGACTAGTGAGCAAACGTGCTTCTATATCAGTGGCTAGAAATCAGCAAATTATTTACAGTTTAGCAGTAACACATCCCTCAGGGAGTAATATAAAGTATCCGGGATTACTTGCAACAGTTTGATTACTGATATGAAATGCATCCCAGTTTAACATAAGTGGAAATGTATTCCATAGCTCAGCACTAAAAAAAATATAAATGCTCATTTAGAAAATAATTTGGCATCTAAGTACAGCTGTGTAAAGCAGTGGAAACTCCTCGTAGCTAGTGCTTAACTTGACAGAACAGCCATTAGCCATGACAAGCCACAGGAGTGCATGGTCATTTTGGAAATAAATGTGGTGTAATGCAGTACATGCAGTAACGTATCCTCAAGCTTTTATTTTCCTTTGGTGTAAAATGCATTCCCATTTTGTATTTAGGTCAAGTGCTACAAGTACTGGCCTGACGACACAGAAGTTTATGGTGACTTCAAAGTGACTTGTGTAGAGATGGAGCCCCTTGCGGAGTACGTCGTCAGGACCTTCACTCTGGGAAGGGTGAGCACGTTTTGAAGGGGCTTGGCAAAATACCGTTCCCTGGTAGCAAGGAGTATGGAGGAGGCTATGCTTGTGCGTGTTGCTGTACAATACTAAATCCCTCTGTCTGGTTAACAGGTCCACAGTGTAGGCAGCCTTACTTCACCATGGGAGTAATGCATTGCATCAGGCTATCCAAACACGCGTCTCACTGTGGGATTTCAAATTTCCCTAGAAATGTTGTCTGCTACGCTCCCCTCTCTGACAGTCACCTCTTCTCTGTAGCCACACTTCTGAGCTGAGCGCAAGTACTAGGTTATGAGTCATGCCTGTCATTCATCTCCATTCACTCTGCCCTGAATGCTGCTGAGTCAATCTCACTTAATCAAAGAACAAACTCTGTGAATGCGAGATGTGTGATGCAGTTGTGGTCTTCTGGTAAATCGTTATACTTGCCTGTAAATGTAGTGGGCCATTGTCTTAATTAGCAAAACTTGATGCGAATTGCATCTAAGTCTATAAAAAAAAAAAATCTAATGAGGGAAAACTAGCGTACTTAATGGCAAAAGTGAAAGTTACAAACTTCAAAATGAAAGAAAAACCAATGACATCTTTAAGCTTTATATGGTCTTTGCTTTAAATAATTGGTAGAATGATGAAAACAGCATGTAGATTCTCTCAGTGTGTGTTATCATTATTTGAGTGAAAGAATATCTAGTCTATAAAATACTTTGAATTTCATAACCTTTATTTTTTTTGCCTTTTACAGAGGGGCTACAATGAAATCCGTGAAGTTAAACAGTTTCATTTCACCGGCTGGCCAGATCATGGAGTTCCTTACAATGCCACAGGCCTGCTTTCCTTCATACGGAGAGTCAAATTATCTAACCCTCCTAGTGCAGGGCCTATTGTTGTCCATTGCAGGTACGTACAGAAGAGGTAGATTGATTTTTTTCCACAACTGTGTATGTGAGCATTTACAGTAGTCTCTTGTGAAGCATCCATCATTTTGAAGTGTTTTGTTTTCGTTGTTCTCTTTTTGAATTGCCTAATTCACGCGGCAGTAGGATTTGGCTGTCTACAGCAATGTTTGGAAATAACCGGATTCTAGTACGCTTTTCCTAAATAGAATAGCCAGAGATTTTCTTTTTCCTGCAAGAGCTGCACCAGCTAAATCATATGATACTTCAGGCTATCATTTTAGGTAGCCTGCAACAATTTTGTGACAGCGTTCGAGAATAAGTGTAGATACAGCTGCTTTGATAGCTTGGTGTTGCATATAATGTCTGAACAGATTATTAATTTAAATCAAAGTAAACAAGTAGATGAAGGAAGATGGAATGAGGTTAATGGCAACAAATACAGAATGTTGGTTTTCCTGTGCAAATTTTGCAAGGTTTGTGTTGTTGGGACACAGTCTTTTGACAAATGGAATTTTCTGTCAGTACCGTCAAATGTTTAATTACATTTTATAGATAGAGTTACTCAGCCTTTACACATTTTAAGAATTCACTGTGCAAAAACGGTCCGTAGCTTTATATAAAACCAAAATAAATCAAGAGAGATTCTTCTGGATACTGTTAAATGTGCTGCCTGAACCAGGTTAGAGCTTGGCTGGTAAAACATACACTTGAGTTTCTTATTGTAAAATATTACTTAAAAATCATCCTTAGTCTTACTAAATAAAAACAAGATCGGTCGTAGTTTGAAGTGCATAAGCTTAATCATCCTGCAGATTTCAGTTTAAGTAACTTTTCTTTTTTACTTTAAGAATTGATCTGGATGATAAAAGGAGGAAAACAATTTTTTTTTTTTTGCTGTTACTGAGTGGATCAAATCTGATTGAAAATGGCTGTTTGGGGCACATCAAAAGATTTAAAGGGCATTATGAAGAGAAGGAGAGAAGATAAAAATTAGATAGTGATTGTGATGAAAGAACTGAATGATTTTATAAAAACGCTCTCAGTAATGGGTTTATAAAGTTTGTAGGTGTTTTCATGGGGCTATTCCTAACAGTATTTACTGATTCTTTTTAGTGCTGGTGCTGGACGAACAGGTTGTTATATTGTGATCGATATCATGTTAGATATGGCAGAAAGAGAAGGTGTTGTGGATATCTACAACTGTGTCAAAGCCTTACGGTCCCGTCGCATCAACATGGTACAGACAGAGGTACGGCAGTTTACCTTCAAAGCACCTGGTGCTTTCTGAAACATGCTAGGTCAGAATTTCACTGTCACTCTGAAAAGAGCAGCCAGTGGCCCTGTTGCAGGGTTATCTCCACTGGGGAGCATTGCTCGATGCAAACAGCACCCAGAACCAGGATGGTGCAGCAAACCTGCCAGCTCTTTCAGTCTTCACACAAACAAGTGCCTGCCTAACTTCGTAACAAAAGGAAAGCAAGGAGGATTTTTTAGCGAATACCCTACAGTAGGCCTGTCTGGAACGTCTCTCCCCAGCTCTGGTATCAACAATTCCAGGAACCCAAAGTTGGAATTTCAACAGGTTGCCAACAGTTTTAGACTATCTCCAATCACTTTATCCATGTTTGTCTTACCTGTGGAACTCTATGTCCATTTCACTCTCCCTTTTCAACTCTGTTTTTGCTTGCTTTATTAACCTTATTGCCAAGCCTTTTTCCTTTTCTACCCTTTTTGTCTTTCGTCATGCCTTCAGCAACTCCACAGTAAAACCATTGCCTTAGTGATGAAGCTATAACAGCTCCCATTCTGCCACCTGTGTATCACTGAGCTTCCACAGAAACATAGGGTTTTAATTTATATTAAGACAGGCTACCTGAAGCGGTTTGCCACCTCTCTCTACTGTCCTCCATGTGGACATCTACCTGAGAAGTCATTTCACCTGTAATATTGAATGTGACCACGTGCAAGTCTCTGCAGTTGGCAGGCAGGCATATCAATGTAATTTGGTGCAGTTTTTATTCCATGCTGCAACCTGTGGCTGTTGAACAAATAAATGTTCCCGATCAACTACCCCTGCTACAGGGTCATTAACCTTTGGGAAGTATGTGGACTGTTTCAGTGTGACTGCTTCAACCATCCCAGTTTAATCTGCTCTTGCATGTGAATTAACACCCCTACTGCTATTCCTTTCTCTTTCTCTCCCTTTTGCCTCTTACCTCTCCTCTTCTCTCAGAGGTCCCTACTTACACAACAAAATAAAGCTGTAATTGCAGCAAGTTCTTGTGATGGTCATCTAGACAACAGTGATGGCAATAGCTCCATAGCTACATGGGTAAGGCAGCACAGGCTGTAGAGCCAGAATATGATCATGGTCCTTGGACATGTGCTCTTGTTACAGGCACATGTTAAAGTTTGTGCTGTAAATAACCTCATCGGTATCCACAATACCTAGGTGAGGCTGGCACAGTTTGCACACTTCGCTTTATAGACATGATTTACATCTATTACTCTCGGGGTAAGTAAATATAATAGGCATTGTGTAAAAATTGACAGGAGGCCTGACTGAAATAGTAAGGCAGTTGTCTAGATCTCAGGGTATCTCAAGGCAAGTCAGCAAAAAAAAACGGGAAGAAATGTTTCTGTTGGGACACACTTAGGTTTATTACTGACCTAGAGCCGGCTATCAGATAATTGGTCTACTAGCTTGCAGACGCATAAGGAGAATGCAGCGTGCCAAATAACTGCTAATCACACTAGTAGTGCCTGAAGCAATTTACACTTTCTGCAAGTATTATAAGACTGAAAGCTATTTTTAAAAAAACCAAAATGAGTAAAGTCAACAAGTCACTGGCATATATGCAGAAACCCACAAGCATCACAAGAAAACTGAAAACCTCCCATTAAATAAATTGCTATGCCTGTTCTGTTAAGTTTTACTGAATTTAAATTGGTTCTGAAGAAAACATCCTTGTTAACTGCATCCCGATTAGGACAAGACTGTTTGTACTAAAGCGTTATTTAGTGGATTGATGGACACTACCTTGAATGAGTTTTGCAGTGTGCAGGAGATCTGTTTATCCTAAAAGAAGGAAAGATCTGTTGTTTTTAAATGGCTATGATTTTTGTTTCTTTGTCTAATTTGGTAGGAGCAGTACATCTTTATTCATGATGCCATTCTAGAAGCTTGCCTGTGTGGAGAAACTGCCATTCCTGTCTGCGAATTCAAAGCTGCTTATTTTGATATAATTAGAATAGACTCTCAGACAAATTCTTCGCATCTCAAAGACGAGTTTCAGGTATTCACAGTTCCTACTAACTCTTCATGTGACAACAATTTTTTTGCCTCTAGATACACTTATTTTAAGGGAAGGGGTTTTCATATCACATTTATAGCACTTGGTCCCTTACCTTTAGTCCACAAAATAAAGCAGCCGTGTTTATGTGCTTTGCAAAGTTGTTTTAAATATGGAATATTCTCCTTTGAATAAAATTGCAGTAAATATCTGTCTGGAATAAAGAGCACTGACTAGGAACCACAGAGACTTTTGGCTTGCATTTGCACAGCTAAGGCATAGCTCTTTAGGGCTCCAAAGGAGCCTCTTTGTTTTACTCCTTTTGGAGGGGATGGTGTCACGAGGAATCTGTTCAGTGGTACACGGAGCGCCTTCTACACCTGCAGCTTAACCCCCCTTGAAAAGCTCCAGCACGTCCATCAAACAGATAGGAGCTCTTATTTGCTAATGTCTTCTTACTAATGCAAGAAGAAAATGCTAATACCTTTTCCCATATTGCAATATTTTAAATTAAAACTTGGTGAATCTCAAGTCCATTGACTGCTAGTTCAGCGTGTTAAAGCGAACGTCCTCTCTCCCTTAGACTCTGAATTCTGTGACCCCTCGCCTGCAAGCGGAGGACTGCAGCATAGCCTGCTTGCCAAGGAACCACGACAAGAACCGCTTCATGGATATGCTGCCACCTGACAGATGTCTGCCTTTCTTAATTACTATTGATGGGGAGAGCAGCAACTACATCAATGCTGCTCTTATGGACGTAAGAGACTATCGTCTTTGTCTGCGTAGTGTGCCATGAAAAGCTGTGTAATATGAGAGAGAGCACTTGCTGGTTTAAGAAAGGGTGATTCTTTCTTACTGTAGTGCCCAGTAAAACGGTCCTAACAAAGAAGGGTGGGGGGAATGGGTAAGAAACCCCACCAGCTTGTGTTGCTTGTTCATAAGGTTTTTTATCTTTAGTCTTATGCATCTTTGTGGGACCCACTAGAAATCTCCCCTTTTCAACAGCATTATATAAAGCTCTAGTCTCCAGCCCTCCGAATCTCACATCTCAGCAGGATCTCAAAAATCTGCTGTTTGTCGGGAAGTAAATATTACCTACCTGAGCATGAGGTTACTATTGCTGTTTTAGCAGAAAGGCTACATACATTGAGGCAGAAGAGACAGAGGGAGAAGAAAAAAAAATGTTTCTTTAGCGTGTTTGGGGATAGGGTTGGTTTTGTTGTTCATATTTTGAGTTGCAGCTCTTTAAAGACCCTTGAAGTTTGAACAATGGAAGTATTGTCAGGGGGAAAGGTAAATTAATGGGAAAAATGGAGGTGAACCTGCTTATAGGTGTCTGATCAATAAAGCAGTTCATCACATGTCGTGTCAGATACCTGCCTGTGTCTGCCATTAGCATTTCCAAAGTTAGGCCCCTAAAGTCGCTTTTACAGTAAATACTTAAATAAGTGGCCTGATTTCCAGGAGCATCTCCCTTTCCTCAAGAATGAAGTGCTGTCAGAAACTGCGGTGTCAAGAAGAGATGCTGGAATAAAATGGCAAATAGCAGCAGAAACCATCAGGACTGAATGGTATTCATCCCGGAGTTCTGCCTGAGCCACTGCAGGAAACATTTGAACTGCTAGCAAAATGTAGTCCCTAATCTCACAATTAGCTATTGTGCCAGAAAAATAGAGGAGTAGCATGTGTGAGACCAATCTATTAGGGAGTCACTGGGGCTGAATGGATGAATTAGAGCAGTGAGCAGAATTTTGGTAGCAACCAAAATTGTTTAGAATTGCAGTTAAAATTACATTAAGCACCTGGATAAAATTGATGTGCTATGGACCAACCAACACAGCTGCATAGAGGAGTGTGGTTTGGGGAGAAAGGAAGACAACGCAGGCTGAACGGCCGGGTGGCAGGAGGATTCTGAGTGTGTAACAGCGTGTGGCAGGCAGGGACAGGAACCAAGCAATGTATTAATGGATGAGCAATCAGAGGCAAGTAAGGAAGGACAGAAATGGTAGTAATAAAAGGAAAAAAGCAGCAGAAAAAAAGTAATATATTACAATGAAGGCATATAACAAGGCTGTAAGTACAGGATTAAAACTTTGGGTAATAAAAGCTTTTTCTTGCCCTTTCTCTTCTGTTTTTTTTAAAGACTGGTTTATTCAGAGAGGCAGCCCCCGCTGCTGGGCAAGGAAAGAGGACTTTCGATAGCAAAACAGAAATGGAAACTTTCTGCTTTCCACAATGTACTTGTCCCTGTGTTCCCACGAGAAGGTGTCTGCTTACCAGTGTGACAGCAGATCTCCTGCCTGTTCTTTTTGAAAACCTGATCATCTCAGACTCTACATTCTCTCATCTTGGGAAAGACCAGAGATGATGGGGAAGAGGACGAGGAAAACATCAGCTAGTACCTGTGTTACTTCTTAAAAATACAAGGGAAGAATCGATACTGGCTGTTCCTCTTTGCTCCCTGGGCAGATCTAGGAAGTAGGACACAAGCCACTACTACCCCATGCTTCCTCCATTAGAAAAGGACAGCAAACATAGATAAAAAAATTGTCAGCCTCCTTATTCTGTTGTCAAGCAAGTACTGATGCTGAAGATGTTAATTGGTTATCTTCACAATTTACAGCAAGTAGAAGGGTGAAAAGAACTGTATTTTTTCTTCTGGGCCTCACACTATGCTCTTTGAGGGTATGTCGCTATATTGCACGTGAAGATCTCTCATACCAGTCTTCAAACAAGCAAGCTTCCATACCAAAAGTGGTTTCGCTACCCTACCAGGTCTTTCTCCTAGGTTAATTTACTCTACTCAATTCAGTAAAAAAACAGCCAAACTGCTTTTGGTACCAGCATGGGTGCTAAACACGGGGATCTCTGCATTGCATACAGCAGTCCCAGCACTTCATCTTCAAACTGGTGACATACAATCCCATCCGCCTACAAGAATATTCACCGTCTTACTCTGTTTGTCAGATTAACCTGTCGGTGCTTCCTTGCCAGTTCATATCTGTATTCCTTCACTGCAGAACTCTTCTGTGCATAGTTGCAAATTGCCTGCAAAAAACTTCTGATCTCTCCTCTTCTGCTTGCTGCTCGTAATACACGTGCTGCAGGGACTTAGCTCCCCTACTATTAGTTGCATCTCAGCTAACCTATGCAAGGCTGGAAATCCCTATTTGCAGTTGTGTGTAACGCAGCATACAGAAAATGGAATCTGCTGTCATGACAGGAAATGGTATTTTGCTGTTTAACTTCTGCTTTCTGCTTGAAATGGGCCCCAGTAATCCTGAAGATTAGTTCTGTGGGTGACCCTGTGGCTGTGGCACCGAAAGAGAATTTGGGATTGAGCTTAGTCCCCGGTTCAGTCACAGAGCTCATGTGTAACCTGCTGTGGATGGGGTGACCTTCTGAGACCCCTGCACCCCTCTCTGCAACACGGGGAGAAGGTTTCCTACACGGTCTCCTGGACACAGTGCCTGGAGTGGAGTTGCCCGAGCCTCAGCTCAGCAGAGCCCTGAAGAGTGTCTTCAGTGCCCCGTTCATATCTGAACTAAAACAGGGCTTGGCCTGTAGCAAAGCAGAAGGCAGACCTGAGCAGAGTAACCTCTTTGTTCTTACTGGAGACGACAATGTATTTTTAACATCAGCTTTGGTGAAATCTGGTGTAATTGATGTCACAGGTTTGTTCTATTTATGTGTTTTTTCTGTTGCAGTGTTTGAGTGGAAGTTATGAAGTACTTCCTCTACCAGTGCTAATAAAATCATTTGCCTTTACAGAGCTACAGGCAGCCAGCAGCTTTTATTGTCACACAACATCCTTTACCAAACACTGTGAAAGATTTCTGGAGATTAGTGTATGACTACGGCTGTACTTCTCTTGTGATGTTAAATGAAGTCGACTTAGCACAGGTTAGTTTGGTGCTCGAGTTTTCCACGTACCGTTGCATGCTTTAATCACTCTGGATCCACTACATGATCAAAATGTAGAGCGGCGCAGTGACTTTACAGTTATTCTCTGCTTTACAGCAACTAATTAACACTAGTTGCTCAGGAAAGGTTAGGTGAGATGTCTGCAGTGGAATAAGGCAATGCTCAGGTTGTAACTTACTATTTAATTATGCCCATTTTGCTCTGGCGCAGGGCTGCCCGCAATACTGGCCTGAGGAAGGGATACTGCGGTATGGTCCTATCCAAGTGGAATGCATGTCGTGTTCAATGGACTGCGACGTCATAAACCGAATTTTCAGGATATGCAATCTAACAAGAGTAAGCATTATCGTAACAATATGTAATGTAAAAATATGTCATTTTTAACACTCTCTAGGCTCTTGTGGTTTTTAATTTTGAATAACAGTAAAATACTAATGTTCTTAAGACATTACCCAGAAAAGAGTCAGTCAAGCATCGATATCTAATACTAATTTCTAGTACTTTTCTATAGCTGCACGCTAAGCAGAGAGAGCAGTAAGGTGAATGGCTGTTGTTCTGTGGCGTTGTCCCTGATGAGTAGATGCATGAGAAGTATTCTGTTTGTTCAGTGTGCAGTGAAAGAAATACCCCTGTAATGAACATGCAGTGACAGGTATTTAATTCGTAGCTTCCGTAAGACATTTTCCGTGGTGAATCGGGAACAGGAGCGCTGAGGCTGGTTGTGCAACCAGCACTTTCTCAGCCTAAGGTGTGCGAACCACAACATACAAGGAGGGTTGTGGCACCCTGCAAAGTGGGGTTTGAAAAAACTCTGAAGGCTCCTCTGCCTCTGAAGGGTTCTGCACCACTGTGCCTCAATCTGCGTTTATCATCTTTTTCTCAACTTCAGTAGCAGTGCCAGTCTTGCGTTCTCGTCGGCTCTTTCACACCTTGCACCATCTTGTCTTTTTGCTGTCCCGTAGTGTTTCGCACTATCGCAGCATCTTCTCAAACCCTGTTTGCCAGGCAGCGTCTCCTCCTTATAGCTCACCTCTATAAATCACTTATTTATGTTGCCTACAGGTAAAGAGTTACAGATGCTTGTGCCACTGTTATGCGTACAGTTAACCAGCAATCCCTATTTTATTTACTGCTACTACTTTTTACCTTTCATCCAAATCTGAACTTACACGCCACCAATTGCTACTTGGAGTATACATTTAACTTTCATTGATGTTGAAGAATAGCTGTGGGGAAAACTGATTACTGTGTATACAAAGATATTTTCTTTTATTTTGGTCACATTTTCATTTTTCAAAGTGCAAAGATCAGTTTGCGTGTGGCCAGTATTTTATCTAAACCTTTATTTTACTTATATTCAGAGCTAAGAAAAACATTTTCAGCTCTTCATACCATGTTTGGAAACTACAGGAAACTAAGGTGTAGGCACACTGGCAAATATTACGCCACAGTGCTTTTTTTGTTGTATTTTGAGACTTCCTCTTCTTTTTTGTTCATTTCTTATTTTCATTTTTTCCATTTCTTCTTTTTTACGATGTTTTGGTTTTCTGCTCCTCTACTTCTCTGTCTCTCCCATGCCTTTTTGCCTTTACGCCTTGCTTCTAAATAGCTCTCTGCTCTGTTCTTCCTTTTCCGAAATCCACATTCCTCTCCTTTTCATCTTCTTCAGCTCCAAGAAACCGAATAGACTATTTATTCTTCCAATTATTGAGGCCTTTCTTGTGACAGTCTAATTCTATTCAAAGCTCTACCTGTGTAGCATCTAGCACATGGAAAGCTCAGAGCCTGGCAGCAAGGCTCTCATGATTATCATAGTCTGGCAAAAAGGGAAGACTTCAAGGAAAATAGTCATATTTGTGCATCAATATTACTTGTTGTTTATTTATAATGGGGTCAGTTCATGCATGGGAGACAAAGGTATGTTTCTTCATTTCTGTAGGTCTAAGAATTTAACAGTGATGTTTTTAATTGGTTATTGGTGTTAAGGATAAAAACCCTTGATACGCAGAAACTAGGGAATTTGTCCATTTAGAAGTCAGGATAGGTTACATTACTGATACATTAGTGATTGATAAATAGTTATTGATAAACTGTGGATTGATAAACTGTGATGTTGTCTTCAATGTAGTTCCCTTTTTTCCCTTTTTTGACATCTTCCTTGAGCTCAAGTGGTACGAATTAATGGAGACCCTACCATGCGATGTACATACATGTTTGAATCTGTCCATAATATAAACACTTAGGTTTCATGTTAGCTTTATAGTTAGCTTTATATTTTGGTTTTTAAACCAAGATGTAAAGGTGCCATATTGACCTAAAGCTCTTTGGTTTCCCTCAGCCGCAAGAGGGCTATCTGATGGTGCAGCAATTCCAGTATTTGGGATGGGCTTCTCACAGAGATGTACCAGCTTCCAAGAGATCCTTCTTGAAGTTAATTCTTCAGGTAAAAAAATGGCAAGAGGAATGTGAAGAAGGGGAGGGCCGGACCATCATCCATTGCCTGTGAGTAATTGGGAGAAAGTCAAATTGCTGCTTATAAATAAATATAAATAAATGCTTATAAATTAGTTCTTGTTTTAAGTTCAAACAGTATTCTTATGACTATATTCTTTTGCACAGGTCCTTGTTTCTTTTATTAAAAAAAAAAAAAATAATGTACCTCTGGTACTGTAGGTTGGCTTTTGGTCAACTTTTGGATTTGTCTGTGCCAGGTCAAGGTACCATGGGAATGAATATTTTGGACATGATACTACAGTGATATTGTGTATTGTCTCCTGTACATAATAGCATGCTTTTTCAGGTACAAAATGTGTACAGATCAATTTCTTCTGTACGGTTTCACTAAGGAAGTCTTTTATGCTGAGTGCCAAATGGTTATTTTTTGTGTATCTCTTGTATATCGTCTGTTGCATTTTCTGCAGAAGGCCTACTATATTTTGAGGGTTTTAGACTGAAAGCTATGGATATATGAAATCAGAGAAAAGTTCTATAATTCAGTACGTGATCCTAAAACTGTTGTTGGTAAATGACCGCTGGCTGCTTATCTGAGCCTAATATTTAAATGGAAGCTGGTTTGGGAGTTTTGAAAAGGCGGCATCTTTTTCTCCCTAAGCAGAGAATGACCAATCTCTCTCCTATCTTATTTAAATACAAAGTTTAAAACTTAAAAATTAAATTATGCATTTTGTTCTTACTTTTAAAAAAAGGCTTCTGTTTAAATGTTCAGAATTAACTTGTGGCCCCTTTCTGCCTACCCCTTCTCATTATCCATGGAACCTTCTGGCTAATTTAAACTTAATAAGAAGTACCTACCTTAATTTCTTTGAAATGAAGATTAAAATAGTTCAGAAGTGTCCCCAAAGGTCAACAAGATACCAAATCAGTGATGCCTTGGCATTACTCTGGCTAGATAATCCTTATACCATAGGATAATTTAAGTGAGTCTCTTTCTAGAACTAAATGGAAAATGTTGTACTTGCCGTTGAACTTAGGGTTTTTATTTCTAATGCCTATGTAAATTAGGCTATAGCATAGCTGGGCGGCATGGTGGGCTGTAACGATAAAATTCAAAAGAAGTAATTGAGGGGAAGGTCAGAAACAGCAAATGTCTCAGACCAAACCGACTGGAGCTACAAGGAGACTGCTAAAGCCTGATCTCCCTGTGGGACTCACGAATCATTCATGCTTACAGAGTGAAAGAACAGAAACGCGTTTTGGATGCTCTCTTACGCCATGGTGACATTTAACCAACTCTTCCTTGCGTACAGAAACGGCGGTGGCCGGAGCGGGATGTTCTGTGCCATCGGCATTGTGGTTGAGATGGTAAAAAGGCAGAACGTGGTGGACGTTTTCCACGCCGTGAAGACTTTGCGGAACAGTAAGCCCAACATGGTAGAAACTCCGGTAAGCACCAGCCTATTGGGGATTTTATAAACAGCCGGGGAGCCAGAGGCTCTCTTGTTGCGTGAGCTGCGTTCTCAGTCCTGTGCCCACAAAACAGAGCAAACCTATGTTGGGCCACAAGAAGAAAGGGACGTGGGGTTTGGGTCTTGGGCTCCCCTTGTAGTACAGACTGAGCAGAGGCTGGTCTGATTCTTGGCGTGAATGTAAGGTTGGGAAATGTTACATCCTGTGGTGGAAATTTCTTGAGTGTACACACAAGTCAGCATCATGAGAGGCCAGGCTAAGCATTTTACGCTACTTTTCTCATAGTGGTACCGTGCTTTTCACAGAAAACATTCCGAGTTAACAGAATGCACTTTAATCTCACAAAATAACCTGGTCTATTTGAAGAGAAGTTGCAGCAGGTTGTGCTCACACAAACCGTCTTGAAATTTTACTGAGCAAGGCATTTCTTCTTGGTAGGAATAAGCTGTAAAGTCCAGTTTAGTAGCTGGAGATGTGAATATTTTGCTTCTTAATAGCAACTGCTGCTTTGGAAGCCGTACTGAATAATGATAATGTTTGTTACTCAGATTTGTAGTAGTCAAAATGATACCTCAGAACTTTAAAATCAAAGACTTGGATCTAGTATGTTGGAAACGAATATATGGAATCATAGTCATTTAGGTTGGAAAAGACCCTTAAGATCATTGAGTCCAACAGTTAACCTAAATAATAAACAATATAAACAATAAACTAATATAAACAATATGAGCCTGAATTAGCAAAACCACAAGACTAAATGTTGATATGTACATTGCCAGAACTCAAAATAACCTTCACGCTTCTGGTCAATCTTTACGCGTGCAGTATGAGTGCATATCCATCCATGTGATCACTTCAGTCACAAAAACTGAACATTGTGGAAAGTCCTTAAAAAAATTCTCCCAAGTGGATTTTTTTCCTTCCTGTAGGTGAATGCGAAAGCAGGTTAGACAGTGTTTGGGAATTTCTGCTGTTTGACTCTCACATTGCCAGCAGCCACTGTCACTTTTCAGCCAGATGGCTGCCTACAGCATAAAAATCAGGGATGCCAATTGAAATTAAAAGCGTTTTGCAGTTTATGCATAGTGAAAATTGCTTCTGACCTTGTGAACTTGCATATAGAGCAAAATGGCTGTAGCTGCCTCTTCCCATATTGCCCTTTTTTCCAAGTGTCGCTGTTTGCTTGGTATCAAGTAGCTTCTGTGGCATGATTTGCTTAATTATTGTGCTTCACTTCCATCCCTTGCCACCACATAAATTAAGAAGATGGTTAAAATGTTAACAGGTAGAGCATCCTGTAGCAGCAATGACATTGGGCTAGGTATTGCTGGTTTTGCCGCAAATACTTTGCAGTCTGCTGTGCCATAGACATCTGAGACACAACATATTGAATTGCTGCCTGGATTTCAGTTCACTGCTATGAAGAAAACAGGTCAGATCACATGGAAAATGACTTGTGTCACTGTAAAGGGATTCCGAGGTAGTTTGTGTGTGTTTCTGATAAATGGTCTGTAAACTTATATTTCATTTCAAAATAGTCCTGAATGCCATTGTAGCTTTAATCTGCAGTTACAGAATTTCCGTATTTACGTGTTTCTGTTGTGTGGGTTTTTATTCAGAACTCTTGAACAGCAGCAGCTGTTGAGTCGTTAGTTAGAAAACAAACTAGGAAAACCAATATATAACACTGTCATGTGCCCTACATTCAGCAACATGATCAGATAACAAAAATGAGCAGTGCAATAAAGCCTTTAAGATATCCCCACCACTTCCTGCTGATGGATCACGCTGGCTTCCTTTGCAAACAAAAATAAATCACAAAAGCAGATTCGTTTGTTAGGTCGCAAAGACAATAGAGACTGAATTCATTTCCTTGGTTTTTCTTCTCCTTCTTGCCCTCTTCTCTCTCCTTCCTCCTCCCTTTACCTCAGTATCAGCTCTGAACAGCAGCCTTGTTAAGGAGAAATACTAACCGTGATGGAATTTTGAGCTTTAACTTCTCTTTTAAATGTGCATCTGATCTCTTGGACGTTACATCGACACGGCTGTACGAATGGGCTGTGGGCCCAGAGCAGCTTTGTGTCACAGCTCAGGATTCCCTAGCCCTTCCCTGGCTGTCCAAGCAGCGGGCACTGGTTAACTGCTCAGTATCGGCTAACTTAAATATAAATGGTATATCAGAGTCAAGGTGCTTTCACTGCAAGAATGCTCTGACTGACGGGAGAACTTTTCACATTTGATAAACCAGTTCAGAAGCTGAAAAAATCAGAGAAGCAAATCATTGCGTTTCGTGGTCACGTTTTTTTTCCAGTTCATTGGTTAGGGTGAGTTTTTAAATCAGAGCTGGTAATATATTTGTGTAGTCGAGGGGAAAAAAAAAGAAAACCCAAGCACGTCAGGCTTGAAGTTAAAATTGCATAGTAGTTAGCAAAGACTATTCTTGTTTGTAGATATTGCTGCTAATACTTTAGAATCTTAATTTAACTTCAGTTTTTTTTTCCCCCTCTTTCCCTTTAAAGGAGCAATATCGCTTCTGCTACGATGTTGCGCTGGAGTACTTGGAATCCTCTTAGTCGGAAGGGATGTGACAAAGTTCACCAAATACATGAATCTCAATAAGCTGTTTTGACAACAGTTCTTGATCCTGTGAAGAAAGATTTTAGGGGAAGAGGGGGGCGGGAGGGATTTTAAATTTTAAATGCAAAGTATTTTTCTTATGAAGTTGTGTATCTTAATAAAAGAACTCAATCTGTTTCTATGCTTGTATACAGTATCAACATTTAGTGCCACATAAATACTGTGTAATGAAAACCAGAGTCAGAAGAGATTTGCCCAAATTAGGACTTTTCAGTGTTTGTATATGCAGCCGTCTCTCAATTACAGTAGAGCGACCATCTGTTGCATGTATGAATATTTCCTATATGGTATTAATTTTTCTTTTTGTTTCTTTTGATACATTGTTAAAGTACAATAACAGTGCAGATTGATAGTAAGGTTCATTCTTTATACGTTTCAAGTGTTGCATATATATATATTATATATAGTAAAAAAAACCTGGCTTATTTTGTTTTAATGTGCAATGATGGCTGGATCACATAAAGATCTTTATAAAGAAACTTAAACATAAGCCAAAGACTCAAGTGTAAATATGTCTATATGGAGAAAGCACATGTATTTATTGTTTACTTGCATTCCTTTTTTGATGGCTGAAAAAAGAAGAATCATTTTTCTTGAAGAAAGCTTTTTTTGCTGAAATCAAGTGTAAACAATTTTTGTAGTTTATTTTTTGTATGTTTTAGTGTAAGTAGAAGACATACTTTTTATGCATAGACCAAGAAACATTGGTATAGTGCTTTTGTTGTGTACATGCTTGTGATTCAGATCCATGTAAACAACTCAGTTACAGAAGGTCTTTAACTACAGGACCAAAATCAGAACATTTTCCTGAAAATGTATAGTTTTTCACAGTTGCATTAGGTAGGTACTGATCAAAAAACTACGTAAGGAAGGGCACACATCAAAACGGCCTTGCCTATGACTTGCACAATATTGGAAGAAATTTTTAAGCACCATTAAAATTGTAAGGGAATCAATTGTTTAAAAAAATATTGAAGCACAGGTCAACAGGAGAACTGCCAGACAAATAGATGGCTCTGCATATGCCCGTGAGGGTAAAAAAGTATTTGTTTTTAATGTGCATGATGGCTGGATCACATAAAGATCTTTATAAAGAAACTTAAACATAAGCCAAAGACTCAAGTGTAAATATGTCTATATGGAGAAAGCACATGTATTTATTGTTTACTTGCATTCCTTTTTTGATGGCTGAAAAAAGAAGAATCATTTTTCTTGAAGAAAGCTTTTTTTGCTGAAATCAAGTGTAAACAATTTTTGTAGTTTATTTTTTGTATGTTTTAGTGTAAGTAGAAGACATACTTTTTATGCATAGACCAAGAAACATTGGTATAGTGCTTTTGTTGTGTACATGCTTGTGATTCAGATCCATGTAAACAACTCAGTTACAGAAGGTCTTTAACTACAGGACCAAAATCAGAACATTTTCCTGAAAATGTATAGTTTTTCACAGTTGCATTAGGTAGGTACTGATCAAAAAACTACGTAAGGAAGGGCACACATCAAAACGGCCTTGCCTATGACTTGCACAATATTGGAAGAAATTTTTAAGCACCATTAAAATTGTAAGGGAATCAATTGTTTAAAAAAATATTGAAGCACAGGTCAACAGGAGAACTGCCAGACAAATAGATGGCTCTGCATATGCCCGTGAGGGTAAAAAAGTATTTGTTTAGCAAATTGTAAAATTAAGCAATGTTTATTTTGATGTTTACGAACATGTAAGCTTTGCTTCCAAGAAAGCAAAATTTGAATAAACCAATGCCAGATTCTGATTATAGTTGTGGTGTACAAAATATTGCTGTGCTTTCGCTTACCTTGTATCCATTTGCTCACAAGGTTTCCTATATTTTACCAGCTAAAATCATTCCAGTCTCTTGTTGGTCTTTTTTAGAACTGACAGTAAAATGATAAGGTGCTTTTAAATATTCTGTAAAGTAAGAGTGAATTAAACTTTTATTTAAAGATTATTTATATTATTTCCTATTTTGATACCCTCTCACTTACTGTCCTTGTTAAGGAGTCATTCTTGTTCGGAAGACCAATATATTTGGATAAGAAAAATTATATTATTTTTCACCTCAGTGTTTCAGGGAGTATTTGAGAAGACTCCATGTCATCTGTATGCCCTAAGTTTCTTCCTTTACTTCAGACACATGAAATTACCCATCCAACTATATATGGCAGAGAAATGTTTAAAGAAATTCTACTTCTCAGATTTTTTTCAGTGCCCCCACCTGTATTGCATAGCTCCACCTCTTCCAGATCTAAAAAACCCTCTTTTTCTTTTGTCACCCGTTGTTAGTTCCTATCTATGAACAGCAAGGTAAACAAATCGCATTTGAAAATGTTCACTGGGTCTGGGTTCTTAATACTCAAAATTGCTCTTTTTTTCTTTTGCCACATTGGAAAGAGGATTAAGCTGCGTGCAATAGAATTGCAACATTCCCAGCTTTCTCTGTGAGGCCATGGTGTTCAGCTAACTTTGGCAGTCAAAGTGCTGGATGTATCATCTAAAGCTAGCCGTCTGGTCACCACATTTTGTGGAGACAATGCAGCATCTCCACAGACTGATTCATCAGGCCCGTTAGACGTGTGTCTGGGATTAAATGAATTGGGCTCTGGAAGAACCTTCCTCTGTTGTCCGTAAAGGGTGTTGAGAAGATTAGATTAGTCTAGAAGTCAAGATTAATTTTTTTGACAGATGAGATGAGCAGCTCTTTGGGTTGTGGAATGCAAAAGCCAAGTTCTGTACTGACCAGAGTGATTTTTGTTGTTTTCTTTCCTGACCAAAAATACAGCATTGCCACTAGGCGGAATGAATAGTTATTTTCAGGGAGAGCTGCTGTGTTGGGGACAGTGGGGTCCATCCCCACCAGGACTTCATAATCCTCGGTAAGATCTTTGTGTCCAGTTTCCCCTGTACATTAAGCATCACTGGTGCAAATGCTGGTATGAATCCTGGCATCGCAGCACACTGTGCCTGCACAGGAGTCCCCCGTGGGAGTATCCCCCTCAACTGGAAGGTATTATAGCTGCCAGTGGTTATTCCGCAAATGGGAACTCTGCCTATGTTGTTCAAGTACTCTGAGAGTCGTGTAATTTCTGTAACTAGCTGACTGTGGTGACCTAATGAGGTTTTGCAATAGCTCATGGTTTGAAAACCTGTGGGAAGTTCTCCCTTGCCAGGCCGGGAGAAAGTATGCAGAGGGAATATGGTGTGTGAGAAGCAGCTCAGAAATATCATTCTCCACTAATGCGACACCTGGGGGTCTCTTAGGAAAAAGACAACATTAGGATCGGCTTTTTAGTATAATATCGGGAAGAGACAGTTCGCTTTCATTGTGGCAGCTCTGTTCCCCCGGATAGATGCTGCTCCAGTATCCTTTTCTTACACCTGTGCAAGACAGAAGAAAGAGAAGTGGGGGGACTATGAAAACCTGCCCCAGAGGGAGAACAGGTGTTGCTCCTAAAGGGAGTGTGCAGTGGAGGGAGAGAAATATTCTTGACCTCGGGCACTTGAAGAGGGAAATATTTTACTCCCTGAGGCAGTGAAAAGCCACCAGCACCAGTATCACAATGTGTCGGCAGCTCCTGCTCTGGAGAGAAGTCCGTAGGCTTCAAGACTCCTCAAAATCTTTCTGCTGGCTACTGCCCTTGCTGAAATACTAGCACAGACTCGGTCGAGTGGCTACAGCCCGCAAGGTACACAGGCTCTGCTTTCCTCAGCGGCATGAAATGAAGGCAGGACCAACACAAGCAGTAAATACGGAGAGAGCAAATGAGCATCAAGTCAGAGTACAAAGAAGAGGCACGAAAGACTTCATCCGTGGAGGTGTGTAAGATGATTCAAATTTGAAATGAACGAAGTTGAGACTGATCTTGTGTCACATAACAAAAGGAACGAAACCAAAGGAGTATACAAGTTCCCAAAACCATGATTGCTTTGTGCGAGAAGGTATTCTTTGCTCTAGAACTGAAGAGTGATGACTCCGGTGTCCTAGTCTCCGTAGTTGATAGTGGAAGGAGTTCGGAATGTTGCCTTGATGGCTTTGGTTCATTTTCTATAGACCAGTAACCGAAGAGGTAACTTAGGGATGTGTTCAAACTATCTGAATTTTCCCAAAATAGCCAGATCTTAGGATTCAACACTGAAGGACCGTGTCAGGCCTCAAGCACCTTAAATCCTTGGAAGTGTCTAAAGCAGTGCCGTGGAGATCGAAGTTTGCTAAAAAAAGAGCTACTAAACCTCAGCACTGTGTATGGAGAGAGGCTTCTCTTTTTTTTTTTCTTTTTTTTTCTTTTTTTTTTTCTTTTTTTTTTTTCCCCACCCTCTGAATCTGCCTTCCCTGTTCATAGTGACCCAGCTCCAGCAAGCGGGTGTGAAGAGACCCAGTTTTTGAACTTTTATCCGGGTCCTGAGAGATCAGACCCCAGCTGGTTGATGAGATCCTAGAATTTACATTTCCTGCTTCCTGGGTAAGTGCTGCCATCAAGAAACAACAGCTTTGAAATAGGCTTTGCGTTCCTGGAAAATGGTCATAGGCATAAGTTTGAAGCTTGAAGCTTAGTATCCTCAGTATATGCAAGGAGTCACTGGGATTTATTTCATTCAGGAAGTTGGTCAGATAATAGAATTATGTAGTTTATGGTACGACCTTGCCTTGCCCAAGGTACTACGTTAAGAAACACGATATTCTTTAGAGAAACATGAAAGCAGATGCTACTGCAGGGGTGTGCTATTTCAAATGGGTTAACAATTTCCAAAATTGAAGGTCTAAAAAAGCAAACTGGGGAAGCAATGGTAGACAAGTGCTATGTCACTGAGCCTCCAACGTGAATTGAAATGTTAAAGGACAAGGAAGGGGCAGCCTGAGAAAAAAATGTTGCAGAATCATTGCGTGGCCAGGCCACCTGGACTGACAAATGACTGTATAAAGGGCCTCTTTTAAGCTTCATTCTGCTGCTGTGGCAGAAGAA